TGGCATTTGGACAAGAACAAACTGGGAGGAGGGTAGAGAGAATAGTGCAACAATGAATGAATGGAAACCCAAAATCTCTGTAAATGTTTAGGAAAATTAATAAAATATAATTATAGGAAAAAATGATAAAACTACATCTCATATACTTTGAGCATATTGCTAGAAGCCATTCTTTGGAGAGGGACAGCAGGCTTGGAAAGGTAGAGGGACTATGAAGGAGCGGAAGACCCTCAATCAAGTAGAGTGACACAGTGACTTCCTTCAGCAATTGGCTTGAGACAAGGTTCAGATCTGTTGTTCATAGGGTCACTGTAAGTAACTTGACTCGATGGCACCTAACAATGACCACCACCTGAGTCTAATCCTTTGCGTTTTTTTAGCAAAGAAAACTAAAATCTTAAGAGGTTGTTACAAATTAGAAATTTTATTTGAATCTTAAAGTGTATTAACAAATTCGTTAGTGATCCATAAGATGAATCATCTTTCAGGGAAATTCCTTTGTGGAGTGGTTTATGCTCTCAAGCGTGAAAGAAAATTTTATGGTTTGAATCCATCAAAGGCTCCAGATGTGTCAGTCCATTTCCATAAAGGTATATAGCCTTGGAAACCCTATGGAACAGTTCCATACTGTTCCATAGAGTGTCTTAAGTCAGAATCGACTGGACAATTTGATGTTTTGTTGTGTTTTGTTTTGTTTTTTTTAAAAAAAGATAACCTAAGTGTGAACAGTGGACTAGTGGTAAGGAGTTACACTGCCAACCCCAAGGCAAGCAGTTTGAAACTATCTTGCTGCTCTTCAGGTGATAGGCAATCTCTTCTTGTGCAATTTACAACCTCTGAAAACTTGCTGGAGGGCCAGCTGACTTGGTTCTGACCACCTGGCTCATTGTTAGTTTTATCATAACCAACAACAAGTGGGATTAAGTGTAGTGGAGAGAAGAGTTTAAGTCTCTGGGCTTCTTACAGGTTTATTCACTTAAGTTCAATCTGAAAGAAAAGGTTGCTCCATCTAATGTCTGCTTCATTTACTTGATTAGTCACATGTGCACTATTTCCTCAAACATGTTTATAAGCCATGAAATAGCCAACCCCCTTCCATTACCACTCTCAACTGAATCAAACTTCAGAGTGATTCTGCAGGCTTCATTGCACTGAAGTTTGAAAACCACTAATGCAGAAGATTTTTACAAAGTGCAAAAATTTTCATTTTTACAGAATGAACCTAGTTAGGATACACCAATATTGTCAATGACTTTTGGTTACAGAGTGAAAACTCACGTGTTAATAATGCAATATAGCCAATACAGTAACACTAGATTGCTCTAGAAATTCTAGAATCATTTTTTCACTATTAAGTATAATATAGTTTTCTTATTTGAAAAGAGAAAAATCTCTGTAGGAAGGCCAAGAGAAGAATAAGACTTTAAATAAGGGGCCCTGTAAATGCCCCCAATCCACTTGGCGCCAATCTTGGCTTTTTCCACAGTACGAAAGTCGAAGACTGTTTAATAGTTCAATAGTTGTCAGAAGTATTAGTAATTAAAGAACGACATTGTAAGGTGTGCTTAGATTTAGGGAAATGAGACGCAAATAAGGTAACTGGAGACTAAGAGATGGTACGAACTGCAAAATCAAAATCGTCTACCTTCAATTTTTGTAGTAGAATGAGCGCTGGTGGGTTGCTCTGCTAATCCAAAGGTCTGTCTCTTTTTGTGATCTACATTCTCGGAAATGTCTCTACGAGTCGGAATCGACTCCACGACAGTTAATTTTTAAGTGTTTCCTCTCCAAACTTTTAGCCCTTCACCTTTCAAACGGTGCTTTGTCATAAACTTTGGCTTTAACAGCTTTATGAGGAAGGAAATTAGTCCCAGGAAAATCGTCCTCAGAATTGGAAATACTGACTTACACAAGAAAACAAGTGAAGCCGATAAAACTAAAGAAATGACAGAATCGGCGAGGAAGAGAATGGAGGGCAAACACAAAAAATCTCAGCTCAGGGAGCCGCAGGAGAGCAACAGAACAGCTCTCAGCTCTGGCGGACAAGTGCAATAAAACAAAAGCCTTGGGATTTAGACACTGGAATTTAACCGTACCAAAAAAGGGTGAACTCACAGATGAAGGGGGGAGAAAATGAAAAACCGAACCGACACTTAAAAGCTGCATGGAAGTTTGTGAGCTTTCTCCCAGCCAGGATAAAATGTGGTCTTTCTCGAGGACAGACTCTTCGGCCTCCAATCAGGAGCAGCGCGAGGCTACGAGAGGTTCCTCGGGCCGGTCCTGGGGTGGAAATAACGCCGAAAGTCGTGGGAGACGCCGGCGGGCACGCAGCGGGGCCGGGGAGCGCCTCTCGGCCGGGCTAACAAAGGCCAGGGAGGGAGGCGACTTCCAGGGCCCCGCGACCTGCGTGGGGCCGAAGGGTTAACCGGGCGTCGGGATCCAGCTCGCATCCCGGCCTCCCCCCGCGCCGTCGCTAGGCGACGGCGGAAGTGGGGGAGGGAAGGGCGGTGCGGCGGAGGGTGGGAATCTTTTTCGGGAGCTTGGGGGTGGAGAGCGGGGAGCGCGCGTGCGCGTGCCCGGCCGGCCGTCGCCGCGGTGACCGTTCTCGCCGTTCGTCGGCTCGCGCCCCGCCCCCGTCCTCACCGCCCCCTCCCCTGTCGCGCGAGCGCGCGCGCGGGGGGTGTTCCTCGCTCCTCCCGGTTGCCGCCGCTGCCGCCGCCGCCGCACCTCCTCTCCTCCTCACCCAGCCTTGGGCTTCCCTGAAACGGCTGCCTCCGCTACCTCTGCAGTCTCTATGAGGTGGAAGAAGAGGAGGATGTGAAGATGGCGGAGCTGCAGATGCTGCTGGAGGAGGAAATCCCGGGGGGCCGCCGGGCCCTCTTCGACAGTTACACGAATCTGGAACGGGTGGCTGATTACTGCGAGAACAACTACATTCAGGTGCGACGCCTTCCCGGGCCTGGGAGCGTCGGGCCCCGGCGCTGAGGGGCGAGCTGAAGAACCCCGGGTCGGGGGCCGGGTTTCTGGGAGCGCGGGCCGAGGCCGCCACCAGCGATCTGGAGTGACCGAGCCCCTGGAGAGGGGTTCCGGGGTGGAGGGTGGGACTAGGCTTTGGATGGAGCCCTGTGACAGGAGGAGATTGTAGCTTAAACCATTTTTAAAAATCGTGAATCCGACCTCGGCGCGGTGCGTGCGTGGTGTCCCCGCCTCCTCGCTGCTGCCCCCGCTCGCCCCCGCGCTCGGGCCGGTGTGGTGCGGGCTGGCGGGGGAGGCGGCGAGTGTGGCATTTTCTGGGTGACAGCATTCTCCCTCCTGTCGGGGGGACGCGCAGGGGAATGAGAGGTCACCCCCAGCCCCTGAGCTCTGGACGGATTTTAAAGGGCTGTATTGCTGCTAAGTCCATGACTTGGGCTTTCTATTCGTGGGAATGCCTCCGGAGACCATTTCCCCCCTTTAGGTCGAAGGAGATAGGGTAAAAGAGCAGTTGTCTTCTCGTTGGAAGTTACTGGCATTTTTCTCCCTATGCAGAAAGGGAAGCTGCGTGATAATGAGCAGTACTCCCCACATAGCCCAAGTCTGGAGAGATTGGTAGTTTTCCTGGGAGAAAAAGAATTGTGATTGTTAACATGAAAGAATTGGGAAAATGAACCTCATGGTTTAATTTTCCCATGATGAAAGGCTTGGCACGAGGACTCCGTTTTAATGTGTGTGTGTGTTAGTATGCATGGAGATCGAGATGTATGGAGGGATGATGGGTGAGATGAGATCCAGCTGCTCGAGAATAAAGCGAAAGATTCTAGATTTAAGGGCAGGAAACTACACCTTTTAAAATGATTTGAAAGAATAGCGGGATTAAACACGGTTTGCAAATTCAGCTTTTTTAGAAAAATAGTTCTGAATTACGGTTACTGCCTCCATTCCCCTCCCCCCTTCCTATTTAAATTCTCTTGGGATAAAGGTGGAAATGGAAACCGTGTGTTAAATTGTTTCTTCACGCTGATCTCCCCCTCCCTTGCCACCCACCTCCATCTCTCCAGACAGCTTTCTTAACATAAGTTATATTGGGAGGCATTATTAAGGCTTCGTATAAATTAAACAAAAATCATACTTACAGGGTTTATAAGATTTGTGAGAAGAATATAATCAATTAGGACGAGGGCTGTGAGATTATTAGACATGTGCTGAACTTTGTTTTATATTTTAGGGAATATTTCTGTTGTTAGAGGATGAACTAGAAGTATCCAGGATTTTTTTTACCCCTCCCCAACCAGGCAGTTGTAAATACCAAATAATAAATGGAAGAATGTGTGTTAAGCCAAAGATTAATACAAAAGGTACAAAGGTATGCATATGGAGGAGGCTGATACTGAGTGATGGTAGGAGTGATTACAGGTTCAATTTTTCACTGAAATTTTTGACGTTTTCTTTGTCCACAGCACTATGTATGTCTACCTGGTGCCTTAAAAAAACCCCCAAAACATCTGTGGAAATGTAGTTCATTCACACTCATGGCAGCCTCATGTATTAAAGAGTAGAAATGCTGTTCCAAAGGATGTTCTTATTTTTCCCAAAACTTAAACCACTGTTCCTCTGTCAGTGTGCTGTACTGTGATGGTTTGTGTACCACTATGATGTGGGAAGCTACTGACAGGGTCACCCAGGGTGGACAAGCTTCAGTGGAGTTTGCATAGTAACATAATCTAGGAAGCAGGACTACCCATCCATTTCTGAAATAACAGGCCCTCAAAAACCATCAGAACATTGCCTGATGCAGTGCCTGAAGAGAAGTCCTTCAGATTGGAAAGGAGGCACTTGAAATGCATAGTGGAGATCGTAAGAATGGCTCAGCACAGGACAAGGTTTGATTTGTTTCTTTAGGGTCATTATGAGTTATAGTTGGCACAGTGCAACCTAACTACGACAGTCTTCCCCTGAAGCAGATCACCAGACCTTTTTTCTTTGACCACAGGATGGGCTCGGATTGCCAGCCTTTGTTGTTGTTGTTATGTGCCCTTGAGTCGTTTGGGACTCATAGCGACCCTATGCACAACAGCCCTAAACCCTGCTCTATCCTGTGCCAACCGCACTGCCTCTGACACACCCATCCTGATTACCCCAGTCACTGAATCAATCCATCTCATAGAGGGTCTTCCCCTCCTGCGCTGTCCCTCCACCCTCCCAAGCATGATGTCCCTCTCCAAGGACTCGTCCCTCCTGGCAACATGTCCAAAGTATGTCAGACGAAGCCCCAGAATCTTTGCCTCCAAGGAGTAGCTTGGTTTAATCCTCTCCAAGATGAATCTGTTTTCCTGGCAGTCCTTGGTACATTCAGTACTCTTCTCCAGCACCACAGCTCAAAAGCATCCACTCTCCTTCTATCCTCCCTAGCCATTGTCCAGCTCTCTGATGCATAACAAGCGATTGCAAACACCATGGCCTGTATCAGGTGCACCTTAGTCTCCAGAGAGACACTGTTGCTCCTGAGTACTTTAGAGAGGTCCCTAACAGCAGACTTTCCCATCGCGAGACGCTTTTTGATTTCCTGACTGCTGGTGCCAAGAGTGTTGACTGTGGAGCCGAGCAAACTGAAGCTGTGAACAATCTCAATCTCTTCGCCATCCATCCTGACGCTGCCAATTGGTCCAGTGGTGAGAATCTTTGTCTTCTTGACATTGAGCCTCAGTCCATACTGAAGGCTGCAGTCCTTGACCCTTTGGAGTTTTTTTTTTCTTAACCTAAAGGCTGGCATATATATATGCCAACCTTTAGGTTAGGAAAAAAAAAACTCCACAACACACCCATACGCTTTTGCCATTGTGTCAGAACCAACTTATGTAAGTATTCATTGAGTTTCTGAGATTCTATATCCATGGGATGAGACTGTTCATCTCTCTTTGGAGGAGCTGCTGGTGAATTTGAATCTCCAGTGAGAAATGGCTTTTGGGTTAAGAGTAACTCCCTATGAATTATGCCATCAGACCTCTCTTTCACATTAATTGTTTTTGTTATGTACCATTGAGTCCTCCAACTCCTAGTTGACCCTCCAGTGGTTTTTCAAAGGCTAATTGTACAGGAGGAGATTGCCTATCTTTCTCCCTTGGGTTAGCCAGTGGATTCAAACCATGTATCTTTGGGAGTGCAGTGCAACTCCTTACTACTAAGCCATGCTTTTGTACCATCAGGGTAGCTTGTAGTTTTCTAGTCTAGTTTTTTAGGAGAGATCTGTGTGCAAATTAATACCATAAGTTGTTGTGTATCATCAAATCAGAACCAACTCATAGCTGACCCTCCAGCAGGTTTTAAAGGCAGTAAATCACACTGGAGGAGATTGTCCATCTTTCTCCCATGGAGTAGTTTGGTACATTTGCACCATGTGCTTGTAGGTTGATAGTGATTTATAGACTGTGAATAATTTTCTTTTTTTACACTGTGAATAAAAATGTTTAAAAATGTTGATAAGTAAGAGTAGGAGGGAGGGAAAATTTTGATAAACAATGAAAGGTTGAAGTTGTCAACAATTTTTTTATACTTGACTCCCCAGTCAATATCCAGGAACGCAGCGGCCATAAAATCAAAGATAAATTGCAGTTGGCAAATTTGCTGTGAAAGATCTCTTTAAAATGCTAAAGAGCTAGGCTGTCAGTTTAAAGACTTAGATGTATGCGAATCAAGCCATGGTGATTTTAGTTGTTTCATATGCATGGGAGAGAAAGTTGGACAGTGAGTGAAGAAAACTGATAAAAAATTGATACTTTTGAATATGGTGTTGGGGTAAGATACTGAATGTACGATAGACTGCCAAAAGAACAAACACATTTGTCTTAGAAGAAGTGTAGCCAGAATGCTCCTTAGATGTGAACATGGTGAGGCTTTGTCTCATATACATTGGGCAAGTTATCAGAATGGTCCAGTCCATGGTCCAGTAAAAATTCAGAAAAAGAGAGGAACTCTTAATGAGATGGATTGATATGGTGACTGCAGCAGTGGACTCAGCACTACAGAAATTATGAGAATGGTGCAGAATAAAGCAGAGTTTTGTTCTGTTGTACATCAGTCCACTATGAATCAGAGCTGACTGGATGGCACCTAATAACAGTAACCAAACAGTGAAGGCAGAACCTAAAGGATTGAATTAGTAACTCCATTGCCTTGTGTAATATTTGAGGAAGAATTTTAGTCAGAAGAAAAATTGAGGGTGGAAAAGTGATTGCATGTATTTATCACCAGTTAATAAATTTGTGTCTCTTACAGTAAAAGTGGGAGCTCTGGTGGCTTACTGGCAAGAAGCTGTGCTGCAATCCCAAAGGCACGCGGTTCGAGGCCACCAGCTGCTCTGCACGAGGATGTGCAATCTCTTCCTGTGCAATTAACTGCCTCTGAAAAGCCACTAGATAGTCAGCTGTGGGTCAGTTTGACTCTTTGGTACACAGCAACAACAACAACAGTAAAAGAGTAAAAATGTAGGTTAAAGATATAAGTGGATGTCATCTTTTAGAAGAGGAATGATACTACCACTGTTACCTGTTTTAGCAAAGATCAATGTGGCAGTGTTCTTAACTCAATTTATAAATATTATTAAAAATGAATTTTTAGATGCTCTGCTGGAGAAGGAGGAGCAATCTCCTCCTGTACCAGTCAGATCTGATTTGACGGTACACACAGACAAAATAATAAAAATTAAAAAAAAAATGAATTTTTAAGGGAGCTCTGGTGGCCTAGTGGAAAGAAGCTGCACTGCAATCCCAGATGTGCCTGGTTTGAATCCACCAGATGCTCTGCTGGAGAAGGAGGGACAATCTCCTCCTGTACCAGTCAGACCTGATTTGACAGTGCCTGCACAAAAAATAATAAAATAAAAAATTTTAAATAAATGTATTTTTATTTTAAATTAGTAAAATATTTTTTGCTCCAGTCAAATTCAGCATTAGGGGGTAGTATAC